TCCAGAAAGTGGGTTTGCTCCTCCAGAAAGTGGGTTTGCTCCTCCAGAAAGTGGGTTTGCTCACAAAGCGCTCACTGAGCTCCTGTAGGACCACAGGGGTTGTGGTTGTGCCCACTGCGGTTGTCATCGGAATCTGAGGAGTCCACGCTTTGTTTTACTGCCCTGGATAAATAGGCCAAGAAATTGTTGGGTTTGTTTTAACGCAAATGGCACTGGAAGAGCATCGTAGGGATTGGAAAGGGCTGGAAAGCTGGGGGAGAGGAATGGTGTGATTCCCTTGGAAATAAGGGAGGGGTTTTGTGCTTGGAAAGGGGAAAGGAATTTCTGTTTGCTCCCAGAAGGAAAGCAAATCTCTGTGCTGTGGTTGCGCAGAGCAGCTCGGCTCGCTGGGAGCGGTGCTGAGATCCCAGAGCACAGAGCAGCATTTACCCCCTGCAGATCCAAGTGCAGCACCCTGCTGCCAAGTCCATGATTGAGATCAGCCGCACTCAGGACGAGGAGGTCGGGGATGGGACCACGTCTGTCATTATCCTTGGTAAGGGGGGCACAAAACCTCCCCTGAGGTTTATTGTGTGAGTAGCAAAGCCAGCTGGGGACGCCTTGCAGGAGACCCGGCTGTTATTTGCAGCCCTAAAAATGGGGTTTGGGGATTTGAAAGGAGAGGAGCAGTGGGTCAGAGCTGTCGGTGGGGCTCAGTGCTGGCAGAGCTGTGCTGTCCCTGCATGGAGCACAGTGATGCTGTGGGAGCACGGGGACCCTAAGCCTAACGCTGGACCCCCACCCGCAGCTGGAGAGATGCTCTCTGTTGCTGAGCACTTCCTGGAGCAGCAAATGCACCCAACCGTCATCATCGGCGCTTACCGCAAGGCTCTGGACGACATGATCCACGTCCTGAAGAAGATCAGGTCAGTGCACCTGGGTCAGGGAGCAGCTGAAGTGCCGTGGCTTCCATAAATGTGTGGGTCTCGATGGGATGCACCCATGGGTGCTGAGGGAGCGGGCGGACGTTGCTCAGCCACTTTGGTAAGTGGTGGGGGATGGGAGAGCTGCCTGAGGAGGGAAGGAGAGCAAATGTCAGTCCAGCCTTCACAGAGGAGCTGGGTAGCTGTAGAGTATCAGACCCACCTCCATCCAGCTGGGAGCCCGGATCCAACGGGGTCCCTCGGGTCGGTGCTGGGATCAGTGCTGCTCGGTGCACACAGCAGCAACGGGGGGGAGGAAATCGAGTGCATCGGAGGTGGTGGCCCGGAAATGGGAGGAGAGGCCGACAGGCAGAGGGCTGTGCTGCCACCCAGGGACAGCTGGGCAGGCTGGAGAGCCGGGGAGAAATGGGATGAGGTGGAGCAGGGGCAGCGTAGAGCCCGGTGTGTGGACAGGAACGGCTGGGTGCCGGAACGCGTTGGGAAGCGGGCTGCTGGAGAGCAGCGGAGGGGAGAGGGACCTGGGGGTCGTGGTGGGCAGCGGGAGGACGGGAGGCAGCCAAGAAGGCTGAAGGCGCCCCGAGGTGCCTTAGAAGGGGGCTGCAGGAGGTCCAGGGAGGTTCTCCTCCCCCTCCGCACCCGGTGTCCACCAGCGCCTCCCATTTCGGTGGCTCTGCTGTGCCAGGCCGCCTCACCCACGCCTTCCAGCGCAGCCTGCCGTCCCTCCCGGCGCTGGGCAGGACCCCTCTGTCGGTGCCCTCTGTTGTTCTCAGGCCGCTCGCTTCTGTGCAGCGGTTGCTCCGGCGCTCCGTCTGTCCTGCAGCTCCTGCGGCGCCTTTTTTATGCCGCTCCTTCGCATCTCCGTGCTCACGCAGGCAGAGCCGCGAGGCAGAACACGGCGCGGTGCTGCTGCCGGCCCTCGCTCGAGCAGGAGGACGTCTGTGCCGACAGCTGGGCCGCTGGGCGGTGCGGGCTGGGAGGAAACCGCTGTGATCGGCCCTTCCAGGAGGCTGCTTTGGGAATCCTGCTCCCCATTGTGCATCTGGTGCCGCCCTGGTGCCGTCCGTCAGCATCGGGCGTTGCAGGCAGTTCATCCCTTGGCTTTTCTTCGTTGCTCTCCGTTCCGTTCGGTTTTTCAGCCGCTTCTGCAAAGGCTGCGACACGAACTCGCAGAGGGGCTGAATGTAATCGAAGCCTTGAAGCTTTATTAATCGGCTCATTTATGAGGGCTCTTCTTTCCCCTCTGCCCTCGCTGCTGCTGACATAGCAGCATAGCTTTGCGCTGCAGCCCTTGTGGATGGCAGCACGGCTTTGGTGCTCTCTCAGGATCCTGCTCCTGCTCTGGCCTTCATGGTGGAAGGGTGGCACTGAGCTGCCCAGAGAGCCCAGGTTGGGCCGGGTGACCTTTCCAGGTCTCTCCCAATGCCTGACATCCGTGCTTCTGTGGAGGTGGTGAGGAGGGCTGTGGGTTCTGCATGGCCCAAAGCGCTTTGCTTTGATAAAACACGGAGCTGGGGGGGGGTGGCACAAATTACAGCTCAGTTGTGGCTTGGAGCAGCGCTGGCTTGGCTGCTCAGCCCTTCCTGTCCCACAGCACCCCGGTGGATGTGAACAACAGAGAGATGATGCTGAAAATCATCAAGAGCGCCATAAACACCAAAGCCATCAACCGCTGGTCCGAGCTGGCCTGCAGCATCGCTTTGGACGCCGTCAGGACGGTGGAGCTGGAGGAAAATGGCCGAAAGGAGATCGATATCAAGAAATACGCCAAAGTGGAGAAGGTGAGTGCTGAGCTGCTGCCTCTGGGTGCTGCTGTGCTGGGTGGGAGATGCTGCGATGCTGAGGGGGGAAGTAATTGGGGTCTGCTGCTCAGCCTGCTCTGCGGTTCCGTCCTCTTCGGTGCTGTCAGCCACGAGCTCATATTGTGGGTTGCGTGCGCTGAGTGGGCAGCTTTGGGGGCAGCTTTGGGGGCAGCTTTGGGGGCAGCGTTGGGGGCTTTGGGGCAGCTTTGCGTGCGTTTTGGGGGCGCAGCCGTGCAGCTGTGGTGCTGCAGGTGGATCTCAGCACGTCTCCCTTCTCTCTGTCAGATCCCTGGTGGTTTCAGTGAGGATTCGTGTGTGCTGCGCGGCATCATGGTGAACAAGGACGTGACGCACCCCAGGATGCGGCGCCTCATCAAGAACCCCCGCATCGTGCTGCTGGATTGCTCACTGGAGTACAAGAAAGGAGAGAGCCAGGTGAGCGGGATGGCGGGGCTGGGCCGCTGTTAATTGCTGTTAATTGCATGGGTCTCATTAGCAAAAATTCCAGCCCTACCAGCGCTCCCCCAGGGTTGGGGTAGGGGAACAGGTTGGCCATGAGGCAGCAGGGTGCCCTGCTGGCCAAAAGGGCCTGGGGTGCCTTGCACAGAGCGTGGCCAGCAGGTGGAGGGAGGCGATCCTCCCCCTCTGCTCTGCCCTGCTGAGGCCTCGTCTGCAGCACAGCGTCCAGTTCTGGGCTGCCCAGCACAAAACAGGCAGGGAGCTCTTGGGAAGAGTCCAGCGCAGGGCCAGGAAGATGGCGAGGGGCCTGGAGCATCTCTGCTATGGGGAAAGGCTGAGTGAGCTGGGTCTGTTCAGCCTGGAGGGAAGGAGACTGAGAGGGGAGCTGATCCAGGTCTGTAAGTATCTGAGGTGTGGGGGGCAGCATGGCGAGGATGGACTCTTTTCAGTGGGGAGTGGAGACAGGAGGAGGGGAAACGGCCGGAAACTGCAGCATAGGAAGTTGTGCAGCAATGTGCGAAGGAACGGCTGTGCAGTGAGGGGAGGAGCGATGGAACAGGATGCAGGGAGGGGGGGAGTCTGTGGGTCCCAACGTGTCTCCATGGGTCCCAACGTGTCTCTATGGGTCCCAACGTGTCTCTATGGTCCCACTGCTCACTGCAACAGGCTGCCCATGGAGGTGGTGCAGTCTCCTGCTCTGCAGATGTTCCAGACCTGCCTGCATGCCGAGCTGTGCGCCCTGCTGTAGGAACGGCTTGGGCAGGGGGTTGGACTCCATGAGCTCTGCAGCTCCCTTCCAACCCCTGCCGTTCTGTGATGCTGTGAATCGTGAGCTCGGGGCCGGGCTCTGAGCGATGCTTCTCTTCCCCTGCAGACCGACATTGAGATTACACGGGAGGAGGACTTTGCGCGCATCCTGCAGATGGAGGAGGAATACATCCAGCAGATCTGCGAGGACCTGCTGAGGGTGAAGCCCGACCTGGTCATCACCGAGAAGGGCATTTCGGGTAACGGCGTCGCACCCCCTCCTTTAGCGGCCCCCATTGCGTTGTGAGGGTCGTGAGGGCGCTGCCCACCCCTGACCGGGGCGCGTCGCTTTCAGACCTGGCCCAGCATTACCTGATGAGAGCCAACATCAGCGCCGTCCGCAGGGTGAGGAAGACGGACAACAACCGCATCGCCAGGTGAGGTTCATCCCGCTGCAGGGCGCTCCTTGGGGGCGCTGCTGGCTGTTGTCACCCGGTGACGTCCCCCTCCGTCCCCATCTTTGCTCAGGGCCTGCGGGGCCCGCATCGTCAGCCGCACCGATGAGCTGCGGGAGGAGGACGTGGGCACCGGCGCCGGGCTGTTCGAGGTGAAAAAGATTGGAGATGAGTACTTTGCTTTCATCACCGAATGCAAGGACCCCAAAGCCTGCACCATCGTCCTGCGTGGGGCCAGCAAGGAGATCCTGGCGGTGAGTTCTGCCCTCCGTGCCTGGCGTCGGTCATTGATGATGTTGTTGTGAGCGGCGGTAGTTCCATGCACTGCCTGCCGCCCCAGCCGGGCTCCTGCATCAGCACTCTGCGTTCAGTACTGCTGTTCTTCCTCCCCCCGCTGCAGGAGGTGGAGCGCAACCTGCAGGACGCCATGCAGGTGTGCCGCAACGTGTTGGTGGACCCCCAGCTGGTGCCAGGAGGAGGGGCTGCAGAGATGGCGGTGTCCCACGCGCTGACGGAGAAGTCCAAAGGCATGACGGGGGTGGAGCAGTGGCCCTACAGAGCGGTGGCGCAGGCGCTGGAGGTCATCCCACGCACGCTCATCCAGAACTGCGGTGCCAGCACCATCCGTGTGCTCACCTCGCTGCGGGTGAGGCGCCTGGCTCCTGTGGGGCAGCTCTTCCGGTCTGCTTCTGCTGCCCCGTGGCTCCTGTGGGGCAGCTCCTTTCCCCTGCTCCTGTGGAGCTCTTCCTCCTGCCCCCCCAGCTCCCATGGGAGCTGATCCTTCCTCCCCCCAGGTCCTGTAGGGCACCTCCTTCCACCCCGCCGGCTCCCGGGGGGTCGCTTCTCCTGCCCCCAGGTTCCTATGGGGCTGCTCCTTCCTCCCTCTGGTTCCTATGGGGCAGTTGCTCAGGCTGAGCCTGCAGCTCTTGAGCAGTTGCAGCGTTCTTTTGCGTGGTCGCAGGGCTGTAGGGGTTGGGAGGGACCACTGGAAGACCCCCTTTCCCCCCTGCTTAAAGCACATTCCGTGCACCAGAAGTGCCCCAGTGGGCTTGGATCTCTCCAGCAGAGCCCACTTCTCTGGGCTCAACTGCGATGGAGCTCCCAGGTTCCAATTTGGTGGAGGGACCCACAGAATCATAGAATGGACCCCAAGGATCAGCGTTCCAACCCCTCTGCCTGCTGCAGCTCTCGGGATTGCAGTTGTACCGCAGCCGAATGTGGAATTCAGTGCTTTGTTTCAATGATGAACCCCTGGGGGTGGGCAGGGCTCAAAGCTTCCTCTGTCAGTGCTGAGGTTGGGAGAGGCGAGCGCTCACCTTTCCCTCGTGCTCA